TTATGAAGCTTTCGAAACGTCCAAAAAGGACACATAAATTTGTACTAAAGTTCACTTAATTTAATAGGTAATTTGCATATTAAATGGTTTATTTAAAATTAATTGTTACACTCGAAAGTGTATTTCCATTAGCAGAAGATTTACTATTATTCTTCTATTAAATTTAACTTTGATGAAATCGATTTTCCAGGGTAACACTTTTTTTCACAATTTCTGTATATGGATTCTATATAAAAATTGGCAAAGTTTGCTTTTTAAATTAAAGAGAAATTCAGTATGAAAGTCAATTCAAGATAGTTACACGTAACACAAAACACGAAATTAAGAGTATTTAAAGATATAATTACTCCATTTATGGCTTCCAGTGATCAAAGGTTTCTTATCAATTATTTATACGCACGGATTTAATATCATTAACTAATATCATTTACTGTTATATTTTAATTTAGTTTGGAAACCATTTTAATGTCGCACTTGTATTATAATTTTAAACCTTTTTTATTACATTATAAAAGTAATAGTTTATTTTGGAAATTTATTTACATTTTTTTTTATAAATATATATTGTATGTTTTTCAAAATTATCTTTATTTAATTCAATATAAATAAATATTGCGGGTAAAAAAAGAAAAATTCTGAAGAATCTTTTTTATTATTATTCTTATTTTGACTTTTATAACTATTTTTATTTTATTTTTTTTTAGTCTTCTTTTATTTCTGTGGATATGATATGAATTTGATTATTCAGTCCATGAACGCGATGATGAAAGAAATTGCGCGTTATGTATTTCTTGCACGCGACGCATCTTATAAAACTCAGAACATTCTTCTTTCTCATTTTTGTTTCCTTTTTTTCTCAACCTGCATTCTTCTTTCACAAATTGTCATCCTCAATACATTGTTTAACAATGTCACTGACATATGTGTCATATATATATAAGAATATTCCTCCAATTAATCAGCAAAGTTCATCCTTCATTTTTCTCAAATCCTCATTCTGCAATAAATACTTGGCAAAGTATTTTTTTTATTTCCGTTTGTTTCTTTTTATAAAACAAATGAATTTCAAGACAGTTTGTGAAATTGACATTAAACTACAAAGATATGGGAGCAATAATATATATGATTAGGAAACCATTTCTAACATATTTTGCAAAATACTATATACATTTTATACACAAAGATTTATGATATTTTTTAAATATGTGCAAAATTAATTTAATGATGTTTTTAATTGAAAAAGTTTATTGTTATTATAAATTTTGATACTTTTAACAAAAGATAGTTAATTTTTAAAGTTGAATTAAATTTATTAAGAAAGAAACTATTGTTTATGATTACATTTTCTTTCTTACAAATACATAGGATATATTTAAGATTTTTTAAGTAAATAATTTATAAAATATGAATTTAATTTGTAAGACATTTAACGATATTTCATAATGATTTTGTAACGATAATAACTGTAGAATAGAAAAATTCTATGCAATACAATATTATAAATAATAAACTAAGAATAATTTCTTTTCCTTTTTATAATTTGAAACACAGGTTTATTAAAAATTAAAATCTTCGGTCTCTCCGCATATCTAAGTTGTTTCACTTCTGCTTGTAAGTCTATTTAGAAATTGTAGTTTTTTCAGCAATTGAAAGAAATTGAAATTTTCTTCAATTGCTATATAACTTTGCATTTATTACATTTCTAATCTATTTTGAAGGTCTTTCTTCTCTTTTCTATCAAATTGCTAATGCGCAATCATCATAGACGTTATAGGCTCGTATAATAATATTCTAAGTACGTTCTGATGACAGTGGCATCAATATATGATACAATCGTGACACGTGTACAAAAACACGTAGTATAAAATAGAATTATGCAAAAATGTGTATATTTGCTACACATCACGATAATAAATGCTGGTGAAGTTTTTCTTTTCTAAATTTATATTTCATCAGTATATTGTGTTTAACAATATATCTTGATAGAAAAGTTACATATTCACTATTATACCTAATATCTCGCTACTTTATTTTTTTAGTTATATTGTGTCATTTTCTTTATATTTATTGATACACTGAAAAAAAAATTTATTTTATTCAAATAATCAGTTATTTGACTATATTATCAAGTAATATTTACTTGAACCATAAATAATTTTTATTTGAATTAAATAAAATTCAAAAGTATGAAGTTAGATTAATTTTTGAATCGATTATGTTTGTTCGATTTTTTCTTAAATATAATAATTATAGTGTATACTCTCTTAATTTGAATTAGTTGAAAATAACTAAGATAGCAAAATGTCAAGCATTCAAATAGTAATATTTTTACTAATCTTTTAATTAAAAATAACTAATTATTAATTAAATTCACATTTAGGTTATGTCAAAATAACTAAAATGTTACGGTAACTGATTAAATTAGTCTAATTTGTTTATTTTTTCATTTATATTTACATTATAAATTATTAGTTACTTTTTACTAAATAATTAGTAATTTTTTTTTATTAATTGTTGAAGCAAAAAGTGAGCCAAGATTTCACTAAAAACAATTATTTTTAACTAATTAACTAATTTAAATTTAATAATCAGAAATATAGAAGATTATGTTTACTAATGTTTATAATAAACTTTTATTAATTTTTTTCCGCAATATATATGTTATAAAATGAAAATTCCGCAATTTTCTTATATATATGTATATTGAAAGTGATGTACTATGGGAAAGAACTTTTTAATTACAGAGAAGAATTTTGAAATTGAGGAAATCTAATAATAAAAACTTTTGATTGCAATCTCGTTATCGGTCTTAGAATTTTTATTATGTGACAAACATTCTGTTGAAGTAAATTTTTGTTGTTTTTTTTACACTTTTCTAAGCACTCTTTTTTTTTAATTCAACGATTTTTTAATCGATGACACTTTAAAAATACAGTGGATGAAGTAATGTAATTTTTTCCTCATTTTCTCTGTGTATGTTCAATTTAATTTATCAGAAATTGAGTGAGTATAGAAGGTGTGATGATATAATTATAAAAGATATTAATCTATAACTTAAATACAATGTGACTAATGCAACATAACTAATGCAAAATATTAAATCACTATATAGTGATTCACTTTCATTAAAAGTTTACATTTTCGTCATTTATGGAAAAATGTATTTATAAATATATATGTGACGCGATCTGAAGAAAGGGACCTTAGAAGCAAAAAAATTATAGGTTACGTTTTTAAATTTTAAAGTAAAAATACCCAAAAACGTTCAACTCGTAATGCAAACTAATGATATTTAGGTCTTCATTACATCCAAAATATTCAATAAAAACTGATTTCAATATAAAAAAAAAACAAAAATAAACTTTTATTTCAAGTAAAACTGTCGTAAACATAACCTATAATTCATTTGCTTCTAAGGTCTCTTTCTTCAGATCGCGTCACATATGTTTATTACAATTATAATTAAATTTTCTCGCATGTCTGCTCTCTAAATTTGAATTAATGAAAATTCGTTCAAGAATTTAAATTAGTAGAAATTTTCACTAATTTTTAGTTAAATATTACTATTTGATTTAGTAATATTTATTTTACTAAATTTTTAGTGAAAGATGACTAAAATTTAGTAGAAATTAGTTGACATTGATTTTATCATCTATGATGACATTAAGTTCTTAAATATTTTTTGGAAATATTTGTTTTCTCTTTTTAAGAGAACATAATTACTAAAATGTTATTTATTTGTTCCTTGAAAATAAAATTTTTAAAATAATTTTTTTTCTTTTTGTAGAATATTGTTTTTCGAGAAATTTGTGTCAGTTAGTTTCTTCATTATATAGAAAAGTTTTGTTTTCAACCAAATGAAATTTTGTTTGATTTAAAAAAATATTTATTTGATACAAAAATTTTTCCAAGGAAAAAAGAATTTGATTGAACCAAATAAATTTTTGGTTGTTTCAAACAAAGTTTTTTTCTACACCCAGAGATAAGATTTCTTTGATTTAAAGAAAACAGTTTCTTTGACTTGTTTTCTTTAATTCATTCAAAATAAAATTTTCTTTGAAACAAAAAAAGCTTCTTATATAGTTTCAAAGAAAATTTCTTTGATTCAAAAAAATTTTCTTTGAATGAAAGAAATTTGTGCATTAAATATTGAAGAAATTCGCTAACATTGATATAGGGTCAAAGAAACAGTTATTTGAATTAAATAACAAATTTCTTTAAAATGAAGATAATTTTTTTTGAATCAAAGATAATTTGTTTGAAACAAATAAATTTTCTTTGAATTAAAGAAAAATTTGTCAAATAAATCCTTTTTCTTGGTGTATTAGAAATGAATTTTTGCGAATGGAGTAAAAAATTTTTTTCTCGATCGCAGTGATCAAAATTATTTTCTTTTCGTTATATTACACCCAGAGAAATGATATATTTGATTCAAAGCTATAGTTTCAAAGCTTCAATACATAAATGGACTATTACACTCAGAAAAAAGATTTCTTTGATTCAAAGAAATCAATTTCTTTGATTCTTTGACCCTATATCAATATTAGAATTTCTTTATTTTAATGCACAAATTTCTTTCATTCAAAGAAAAAGTTTCTTTTGAATGAAAGTAAACAAGTCAAAGAAAATGGTTTTTTTAAATCAAAGAAATCTTTTCTCTGGATGTATAGGCTTTGAATAACAAATATACATTTATTTAACTCAAATATATTATATTTGATTGAAATAAAATATTTCTCTGGGTATAAGCGAGTTGTCTTTAAAAAAAAAAATGAAATTCAGTTTATAAATAAAGAGAAAAAATAATTTTAATGAATATGGCTCGTTAGTGAAGCAATTACGAAGTTCTGGCGCGTGTTACACATTAGAGAGGATGCGTCGCACGTCACCCTTACTTCTGGTATCAGAATGACGCACTCTCTTGCATCAAAGGCGGTATATATCCATTTGAACGTTCTCCAGTGGCGTTGAGGCGTTCTCCACTTGGGAAAATTGTGGCATACAGAGTTAGAACCTCTGTGAGAGAGACTCACTTACTGCGGAGGTGGATCGCCCAGTAAGTTCCGAGTGATAGCGCAGAAATGTTGTCTCTCAGTCTCCATCGTCCTTTCCTCTCGCATCGACAAACTGCGTTCGGTACAGCATTTAGTGGCAATACATTATTGACAATTGATTAATTTTTTTTTTATTTATTCACTATTTAATTTTACATATAACAAGTGACGATGTGATTAATTTTTTTTCAATTTTTTTTTTTTTAGTTTAATAGTAATTTTTTTTTTATTTGAATTTTATAAATAAATAGACGCGCGAAATTTTGAAGATCTGAGAAAATATGCACACGGTGATTTGGACGTTCGTGGCACTGAACTTCATACAGGTACGGCATATAATATGTATATATATATGTAGCTTGTGAAATTCTATGTCGATTGCTCCCAGAGAGTGAAATACCGGTGCAGCTGATCTCACTGCCGGCGAAAGTGGATAATTAACTTATTGGACTCGTTATTTATTTTGACTATGTTTCGCTCGGATGTTTCTCTTCTTTATGCAAACTAGATGTATTCATACAGTTCGATCCCTCGTGTACATGCATCGATTTTAGGATTACAATAATATAATGAATATATTTATTCTTTCATGGCTTTCTATTCAGATTATTTCTCACTATTCAGGTTTACTCTCGTTGAAGTTTTGTTTTGATTTCTAGAGTATTGACCCCGGTATTAGACATTGGATTTTTTAAATTTTAATTTAATATAATATTAAAATCAATGTTTGGAAAAATTTTGTTTTAAAACTCTCTAATTGCATGAAGTATTAATTATTATCCTATATATTTTTTTAGTATTTATTGAGAATTTTTTTTAGTTACCAATTTTTATGTGAAACTATTTTATTGTCAGAAAATTCTATTATATGGTGCAAAAGTTATATGAATAATGTGATACTGGAAAAAGTTGTGCAATTTAATGATTTTACAATGTATATTATGAAATAATGTAAATAATTAATTTTTACTGAATTTATTAGTACATAGGTATAATAAGTTATATGTAGAAAAAAAATATTTTTAGTTTAAAAAAAAAAATTTCTAATGTAAAATTTTGATACTAATTATATTAGCCCTACTGTATAAATCGGTATTTTTTTCTATCAATTATGAATTTTATATTGATTAAAATTTTCACCTTCTTTTTTTTTTGTTTTGTCAAATCGTAGTCAAAAACAATAACTATTTTTATATATTTTCAGTTAAATTTCCTAATATTTGAAGGTTGTATAAATTAAAAGTCTTTACAGAGAAAGTTAAACAGTAAAAAAATACATTTTTTTCTATAAAAATTCTAAAATAAAATTTATTTCTTAATCTATTCTCATATCAAGTAGGCGTATAAAAATCGATTTATCAAAAAGTTCCAAAATTTATTTTGATATCTAACTTATATGTGATAATTTTCTGTGTAATATTTATGTAACACTTTAATAATTGATAGTTGACTGTTTTAAAAAATAGGAACCAAAGAAATTGACATAATTTATGATTTTTATAATTTTAAATTTTATTTTCTTAAATTTCAATAAATTTTTTTTTAACTAATTCCTATAGCAATTCAGATTAAATGTTCGTTTAAATTTTATTATATTATTGATAAACATAAAAATAGGTATATAATTTTAATTTATTTTCTTTCTTTCCGAATAATTTTTTATACAAAATATAGAATATTGTTGTTTTATAAAATACAAAAATACAAAAGGAAAAATGAATTTTATTGATTCTATGTAGTTAAAGAATGTTTTATTGCTAAAAGGAAAATAGAGATGCGCAAATAGATTGAATTAATGTCTGATAAAGATTAAAGAGTGGTACAGAACTATAGATTTAAACCCCATCGATCTTAAGTCTACCATAAAAATTTTTTTCATACAGGAAAATATTGTTCTTGAATATATTCAAGGGGAAACCACTTAAACGTGTATATATATATACCCACCTCATATAACACATGATAATAAATCTCTTCTTGACGTGATTCATTTACGATTCTTCACCCAAAAAATTGCGTATGGCGCTAAACCCTTTATTACTTAATATACATCTACTATTTCATTTTTCATATTACCCTACTTATATAAAAATTTCTTAAAAGTGTAATTTTTTTTTTAAAGAACACAATTTTTTCATTAAACAAAAATAGAGAAATCAAATTTTTAGTGAAAAATATCTAATATAAAATTTTAATTGCTACATACCAATGTATTATGCATGCATAAAATATATATATTAAAAAGCCTTTTAGAGTCTATTAATCTTTATCAATAATATAATACAAAGGTCTTGAGGCTTAATAAATTTTTTAACCTATGTGTACATGGTTCGCACATAAGTAAAGATAAGGAGTTTTAAGTACAACAATAAATAATGTTTGCCAGTAATATAAAACGAAGATCGAAAATTTGATTTACTGTGAGATTATAAGTACTTGCTAACTTGATCAGATTTCTCAGCAGTGTCGTAAAGTATTCGAATGAGTTTTCAAAAAAAATTTTTTTTTTTCATTGCCCGATGGCAATTATCGTTTCAAAAATCTCGAACTCGTTTCAACTGATGTTGCGATGAAGCAGACATATTACAGGGGACCAAGTTACATTTCTCATTTATTTGTAATGAATGCAAGTAACAACGTATATATATAGAAAAGATCGTTAATTCCCTTTGATGAGTAATTAATAAAAAAAAAAAATAAACTTTGAAACCTATTATATTTTATCGTCCATTTCTATCGTAATTTATTTGATTTTATCCACTATTTAGCTAATTAGAAATGAATTTTTGGGATACAGAAAAAATGTTTATATATTCATTTGATTCAATGATTTAGTTGTGTTGGAGATGTACATTTGCAAGTTACATATATAAGAGAACTTACATTTCTAGAGCCTAAGTGCAACTCTTATATACCCAGTTACACCCTTAACCCCTGACGAGACCTGCAGTAACTTCTGAATGACATTCCATATATTCAAGTGGTTTACGGCTGTTTTTACTGCATTGCCCGTTTGGTCCATTACAGCTTTCAAAGTCACGATTCACAGGTTATATATGCCCCGTAAAACAAAAAATTTTTCTTTTTATATTTGAACCATATTAAGGCGTTGAATTCAAATATGTCCGTCTGCAAATATTAGCTGTGTATATATATATATATATCGTTTAAGTAGAGGAAAAATTTAATGACACTGAAAGAAATTGACTTATAAATTTTACTGACTTTTATGGTTTTTTTTTCACCAATTCGCATTTTTGTTAATTTTGTTATTTTTATCTCTTCTAAATTTTTTGGAAAATATTTTCTGCAATATCAAAATTTCTGAAGTGTTCCAATTGCCAAAATGTGAGCACTACACGGAAAAAAATTTTCTGTAGAATTTACAGAAACTCCTGCGCCATCTACTGATGTTTCTCCAAATAGAGAAATATGTTGAATCATTGGCATTAAAATCTGCTAATTCTACAAGTTTGAGCTACAGTTCTTAAAAACTGTTGAGTGACCAAATTATGTATAGTATATTGGGGATAATATATATTTGGTAGAGTATTTCTTATAGGTTATATTCTCCTCCGAATACATTAAATTCGCGGAACATTATTGTATAAATTAGTATAACTTCTATGTAAATAAATTCATCCTTCAATAATTTTCTAACAAAAAAAATGAGGAGCAAGTTTTCAAAACTTATGATAAATCCACTTTTTCTTATGTTGAGAAATTGAAATAAACGACTTTTCTCACTTAATCACTACAGTTAATTTTAAAATAAAAAATTTGTAATAATTTATTTCTATAATAATGTTTATATACTTAAGACGCTTCCTTTTTAATTAAACTTTCTTGCAGACACTATGATAATAATAAAAACACTAAATTCGCCTTAACCTCTCGCACTCAATCGTACTCAGCCTTAGTCGAATCACTGCATTGTTTTCGCGCATGCGTTAAATCCTTGCAGAAAATATCTGTAGAATTAACAGATTTAGGAACATGTAAAATCTCTAAATCGACGTTAAAGAATTACCAGAAAATTTTTTTCCGTGTACATTTTTTGAAAAATCATAACTGAACAAATTTGAAACACTTAAAATTCTATTAAATGAGAATCCTGTTAAATTAAAATTTGATTAAATTAGAATTCTTTTTAGTAAAAATTTATGTAAAGAGAAATTCTGTTTAAAATGAAAATTCTATACAGAAAATAAAAAATTCGGTTAAAAAGAAATTCTGTTAAAAGCTAATTCGAAAATTCTTCTAATATAAATAATTATATCTAATAAAATTCTTTAAATTGAAAATACTATACCTAATTATTTTTATATAGAATAAATCATATGTGTCTCTTTATCAATCAAACTTATAAAAAAATAAGCGTATGACAAATTTTGACCGATAGTATTTATAAAAAAATTATATTCCTGCGACTAATTAGAATCATCATTTTTCTCATTATAGAATTATGTATAATTATATAATTAAATCCTTGATCTGTGACTACTCGACAGCATCATAAGCGGAAATACAATATATATAATGACTTCTAATGGAATATAACGATATGTAACTATATATAAAATACTTATTTTCCATATATGATAAAATGGATAAACATATATAATAAATTATGTTAAGCAGAAATACCTCTCTGTTCAAAAAAACAGAAAACGCATTCTCTTTACAAAAATCTCATATATTTCCCCCCCCCCTGAGAATAAATTCCATTTTAGAAGTTGAATTATTATTGAAAATATGTTTTTGAAATGAAATTATATTATATGAAATTTATAAAAAAAAAAAAATTGTTGAGCATATACATATAGTGTTTTGTAATGTTGTATATAAAGATATAAAGGAAATAAATCTCGTTTTAATGTGTTGTTAAATATAAATGAATGTTTATATACGTATATGTTAATTTGTCGATGATTCTGACTCCTGTAAGCCATAAACAAATTACTGGGGATCTTATATTCGCGCGCAGCTTGTGTCGAGGGTGATTTAAATTAACTGACTTTCCAAGGGTAAATTCTCATGGGATTTATTTGCGAACTCCTCTCTCACCATACAATGAACATGAATTCCGTTCTCGCGGCAAACGCTTTGACAAGAGAGTGAAAAAAAAAGTGTCACATGGTGAAGTCTTTTGAAGTACACACCAGAAATAAATTAACGATGTGCGATAATGGTGATAAAAGCGAAATTTTAACGAATGTGTAGAATAAGAAAACCATATATAGGTATATATAAAATTTTTTCAATTAATTAATTACATAATTTTTTAATTCCAAAAAAGAGTCAGAGATGGTTACCAAAGGACATG